TGTTAATGCGAATTGGAGTGACGAATGTGTTGTTTGTTATGGAGAGGGAATAAGTGGCTGGTTGTGTCAGTAGGAGTGATAGTGAAGTGAGTGAGTGAGTGAGTGAGTGAGTGAGTAGTCAGTTGGAGGTGGATATGAGATGTTTTGGAAAAAGGCCATCCGAAAGTAGCGGATGTGTCATGCCTCAGGAGAGTGGGCATCAGATGCCCTGTCCGACCTTGTGCAGGGGACTGCCAACCATCTCTCCTTTTCTGATGCACGAGTGTTGTCTGACAATCCTAAAACACCTCACTACAACACACTTCACAATCAACCACGTCATTCGTTTGCACGTCTTATCCCAATCTAATTAATTGATCATCGAATCCACAGCACACACTTCTACACATCATCTACACTACAATATACAGTCGCCAATCAAATTACTCACCAACAGTAGTGCATTCACACCACAATTCATCAACACCTCATCAGTAGTATATTCAGTTCACACAACAAATTTCTTTTCATGCACTCCACTTTTCATGCAACACCAAACTACTGTCGCGCACTTCAGTAGCACAATGAGGTCAACTAAATATCGTCGGTTTGTGTTGTGTAGCATAGCATTGCATTGCATTGCGTCGCGTTGCGTGGTATGGGATGTGATGGCATGGCATGGAATTTCATTGCATTGCATTGCGTTCTGCTGCACCATCTCCTTGTCTCATACTCTAGTCGTACCAGACAGTCGTACGACAATATGCGTGACATTTGTTTTGGGGAATCGTGTGATTTTCAAATGACATTGATCAGGCCTGTTTCATGCTTAATACTATGGTGATAAAGGATGCAGTACCAACTGGTTACATTCCACCAATCCTGTATATCTGTTTGTGCGTGACTGATGCACACGATGGTCCTCCCACATTTTCCCATTCCCTTCTCTCCTTCACATTCTCGTGTCAACTGAGTCGACTGTTAGTGTCGCACTCACTCACACACACTCTTCTCCACTCTCCCACACTCCTAACATCAGTACACTCGGAGGCTAGACGACGCAAGCAAGCATCTCAACTGACCAAGTTCACAATGCCGGTTGCGCTCAACCATGTCAAACCCGTATGCTATAGACTGTAGTTTGAGAAAGCTGATGAGGGATGTGAATGAGTCGAGATATGCATGACCACTGATTATCGGGTATGCACGTGTGAGAGTGAATGATACAACTTGTGGCTAACCGAATAACCAGAGGATTTGGATGTAGTTGTCTCTGACGAACATATTCGTTGAACAGCATAATTTATAATCAATTTCCAACTGCCTAGAGAATTCTTCCTGATTTCCATTGATGAGAGGTTTGGTAAATAAGTCCAAAACTACCACAACCACTACTGCTACTATTGCTACGACGACGACGACGACAACAACAACAACAACAACAACAACAACGACCACTACCACTACCACTACTACAATACTACTTCTACTACTCATTTTACTAGTGATGTGTCCACGAATTCTAATTGTATTACTTTGAATAACTTCACGATGTCAGCTAGTGGCGAAATTTCCCCTCCGTGAAGGGAGATATTCAGATGAGAATCCTCACTATTCGACCAAGACAAGTGACAATTTGTCGCGTTACCCAAAAGTTCGCATCATATTCCCCATATAGAATCGTGTGACTATTTCCCCTCTCTGTTTGTTTGAGGAATGCTATGCGAAATGTGAAGTTCGTATACGTGTATGTAAGCGGATTGAGTGGTTGAAAGTGTTGGTTGGAGTGTAGTATCTGGTGATGTGGTCCATTGTACAACGGTAATGGAATGCCAGTTGTCAATGAATAGTCATCAACATCTTGTGAGTGTGCGTACAATCGAGTGGTTGAGGCGTGTTAATGCGAATTGGAGTGACGAATGTGTTGTTTGTTATGGAGAGGGAATAAGTGGCTGGTTGTGTCAGTAGGAGTGATAGTGAAGTGAGTGAGTGAGTGAGTGAGTGAGTAGTCAGTTGGAGGTGGATATGAGATGTTTTGGAAAAAGGCCATCCGAAAGTAGCGGATGTGTCATGCCTCAGGAGAGTGGGCATCAGATGCCCTGTCCGACCTTGTGCAGGGAAATGCCAACCATTTTTTCTTTTTCTGATGCACGAGTGTTGTCTGACAATCCTAAAACACCTCACTACAACACACTTCACAATCAACCACGTCATTCGTTTGCACGTCTTATCCCAATCTAATTAATTAATCATCGAATCCACAGCACACACTTCTACACATCATCTACACTACAATATACAGTCGCCAATCAAATTACTCACCAACAGTAGTGCATTCACACCACAATTCATCAACACCTCATCAGTAGTATATTCAGTTCACACAACAAATTTCTTTTCATGCACTCCACTTTTCATGCAACACCAAACTACTGTCGCGCACTTCAGTAGCACAATGAGGTCAACTAAATATCGTCGGTTTGTGTTGTGTAGCATAGCATTGCATTGCATTGCGTCGCGTTGCGTGGTATGGGATGTGATGGCATGGCATGGAATTTCATTGCATTGCATTGCGTTCTGCTGCACCATCTCCTTGTCTCATACTCTAGTCGTACCAGACAGTCGTACGACAATATGCGTGACATTTGTTTTGGGGAATCGTGTGATTTTCAAATGACATTGATCAGGCCTGTTTCATGCTTAATACTATGGTGATAAAGGATGCAGTACCAACTGGTTACATTCCACCAATCCTGTATATCTGTTTGTGCGTGACTGATGCACACGATGGTCCTCCCACATTTTCCCATTCCCTTCTCTCCTTCACATTCTCGTGTCAACTGAGTCGACTGTTAGTGTCGCACTCACTCACACACACTCTTCTCCACTCTCCCACACTCCTAACATCAGTACACTCGGAGGCTAGACGACGCAAGCAAGCATCTCAACTGACCAAGTTCACAATGCCGGTTGCGCTCAACCATGTCAAACCCGTATGCTATAGACTGTAGTTTGAGAAAGCTGATGAGGGATGTGAATGAGTCGAGATATGCATGACCACTGATTATCGGGTATGCACGTGTGAGAGTGAATGATACAACTTGTGGCTAACCGAATAACCAGAGGATTTGGATGTAGTTGTCTCTGACGAACATATTCGTTGAACAGCATAATTTATAATCAATTTCCAACTGCCTAGAGAATTCTTCCTGATTTCCATTGATGAGAGGTTTGGTAAATAATTCCAAAACTACTAATACGGTACTACTACAACGATGACGAACACTGCGACTACTACTGGTATGACTAAGATTTCTAGATTTATGACTTTCAATAACTTCATGATGTCAGGGTTATCATTGTTGTTGATAATGTTGAAGTTGACAATGAATGTCGAGTTAACGAATAGCTGAGTAAACAAATTTACAGCAAGCGAAATGTATCCCTGATCCTAAATATCCTGGTTCGACCGATGGTAAGGAGTATCATTTCTCTCTTTCGAAATGTTTTTAATGACCACACTTATATAGCCACAACAAAGGAATTCCTACTCACTGACTTCTTGCAACATTACTGTTGTTTACGAAATTGAAAGGACGAAAAGTGAATGTCCGGTTCTTTAACCAAGTTGGTAAACACGAAGAGAACACCTAATGGAGTTGGAGTTTCCAACGATTGTTATTTGATCAAAATGTTTTTGGAATTTTTTCCTGAATTCTAAAGTGATCCAGCAAATTGTAAATAATGACTAGTCACACTTATTTGTTGTCTACATTTTCGGTTTTAATCTTTACACTTCTTATTACTTGTTATATCTAGAGCTTTGATTCTTACTATGCCGCGTACTAATAGACTACTTGAACGATCGAACCCGCAACATCGCAAGAGAGAAGACAGAAAACTAGGAAGTAGGAATTTTATTCCCCAAAAACAGTGTCAAATATAGTACAGAAATCTCATGCATTTACAGTTTTTGACTGAAAGTAAATCATCATTTCAGACGAACAATACGCACATAGGGGTAATTCTTATTCATCCAATAGGGAAGCTACACGTCGACATTCTAGAATATTCGCCTAGCAGTGATTAGATGGAATGTCTTCGGCTCTTTCTGGGCTTCTTGAGGCTTCCTAGATTTTAGCAACGAGCCATACTTACATTACTATTTTTCATACTGTATATGGACTAGATTCGATCTTTGTGTTTTTTCCCATCATCATAGCTAATGCGAATATATATTCGACTTCTTTGGTATTGCTTTTATCGATTTAATCTGTGTATTGTCTCCCATATGCCCTGGTACGGCTGAAGGTGAAGAGAGTTAGCTCTTCCTCTGCAAATGCTCTCATATGGCTACGCGTATGTAGTCACTTCCAGGGAAGTTCTACTAACTGAATTCTTTTAAAAGGGGGTTTTGTTTACGAAATTGAAAGTGTGATAAGCGAATGTCCGGTGCTTTAACCGGATTGGTGGACACTGTGAGTCCACGTAGGGGAGTTGGAAAACCCTCATTTCAAACCAATGGTACGAATGAATACAAGTATTCTGATGGAACAAATACCGTATGAACCAATTGTTGGTCACCGGCTACCATGGGATTGCATCTCCTCACGATACTCCACTGCCTTGTGGATCAGACCTTTAGGTGAAAAGCTCCGAGTCTGACCTCCTACGAAAACCATCTGCTTCGATTTGAGCATCTGGGCAGTATCACAGCCCATACACAAATCAAATAACTTATGTGGCGTATATATATTCAGTGTCCCCTTTGTACCAACATTCAAATAAATAAACAATCATATACTATAAAATGAATAATAAAAGAAATTTTTACTCAATTAAAATACAATAATCATTCTAATAAGAAACTTTCATAAAACACAAAAATGTACAAAATGATAGAGATGAATATGTATATATCTATATAGAAGAGTTATATAGTTCTTATAAGTAGTATATAAGTAGTATAGGACTAATGGGAATGATAATACTGTTTCTTTCATTTTCTTTTCTTCTATTTTCCCTTTTTGGTTTGTCATTTTAATAAAAACTTAATGAACAAGTAGATTGTTATTATTTGTTACTGATAAAGAATTTGTAAGTAGTACTATTTGTGTTTCATGAGAAGATGATGTTGAACAATTCGACGTCATTGTTGCCGTTGTCGTTGTTGACGATGAATATGAAGGTAAAGAATGATTAATTAAACCGAAGACAAATTTATAACAACCAAATTGTATTACTGAACCATGTCTTAATATAGCAGGACCTTCCCAACCATTGATTAGATCTGAGGAATCCGTTTTATCTGATATATCAGTATTGTCATTGAATAGATTCTGAGATTTGTCATTTCGACCAAAATGTAAACTTGTACAATCACACATGGATGTCATATGTGATAAATCCTGGAAAAGTATACAAGTGAAACCATTGGAAAAAAGTATAAATAAGGGACGAAATGATCAAACCAAGGTGTATGTTACGCTCCCAAATGCCCTGGTACAGCCGGGAGTGAAGAGAGTCCGCTATGCCTCTCGAAATGCTCTCATATGGCCATGAGCCTCTGCCACACAAGTCCTACTCACTGCCTTCTCGTGGCGGGGGTGTTGTTTACGAAATTAAGAGGACGAAAAGTGAATATCCGGCACTTTAACAAGGTCGGTGGACACGGAAAGCCCACCAAGGGGAGTTGGGAAACCCTGATTCAAAGTCAATGGTGCACATGGGCTCCAGTATATTGAGGAGACAAATGGCGTATCAATCAATCGTTTGTCACCGGCTAATTCACCTTAACTCACTTTTGTGTGTGTATTGTTTTACACTACTTACTAATATTCAGTAATTAGTTGTATTCTTAACAATTTCCACGGGCATGTTGTAACGTGGTGGTATTTTAAAATATTCGCACATCATTTTAACACAACATTTTCTTTATTTATTTGTATTTGGTTCCATTTTTTTTCTCCAGACACTACGGAACATCATTGAACAATCAATTGAAAGGAACTCGTCACTATATATAAACTCCCTTGACTATAAGAAAGCATTTGACAATGTAGATAGAATAACATTATGGGAACTTCTTCGACACTATGGAGTACTTGAGAAAATAGTCAAAATCATACGGAATTCATACGACTGACTACAGTGCAAAGTCATTCATTCTAAATGATGACCACAGTCAAACAAGACTATCTTCTCTCTCCTTTCTCTTCTAGTAGTTGATTGGATTATGAAGACCTCCACATATGTTGGGAAGCACGGAATACAATGGACAGCTCAGATTCGGTTTGAAGATTTTGATTTCGCGGATGACCTAACTCTTTTATCCCATACACATCCACAAATGCGGGTCAAGACAAACACTGTAGAAGTAACATCTGTATCAGTAAGCCACAATGGAAGAAATAAGGTCCTCAAATACAACATGGAGAACACTAACACAATCACACTTCATGGAAAAACTCTAGAAGAGGTGGAAACACTCACGTACCTGGGCAGAATCATCGATGAACAAGGAAGATTGGATGCAGACATAAAGGTGAGGATTGGTAAAACAAGGACAACATGCGTACAGTTGAACAACATATGGAACTGAAACAACTATCTTCAAGCCAATATCAAATTCAGAATCTTCATTACGAACGTCAAGATAGTTCTACTGTATGGAACTAGGACTTCGAGAACTACTATAATCATCATCAAAAAAGTTACAAGTATTTGTAAACAATTGTTTAAGAAAGATACCTAGTGTCTGTTGATCGGATACCATCATCAACAGTCTATTGTGGGAGAGAACAAACCACATTCTAGCCGAAGAGGAAATTAGGAAAAGATGCTGGAAGTGGATAGGATATATATTATGGAAATCATCAAACTGCATCACAAGGGAAGCGTTTACTTGGAATCCTGAATGGAAACGGGAAAGAGGACGGCCAAAAAACACACTGCGCCGAGAATTGGAAACAGACATGAAAAAGATGGATAGCGACTGGGAAGGATTGCCCAGGACGGAGTTGGATGGAGAATGCTAGTGGGTGGCCTATGCTCCTTCATGAGGAGTAACAGGTGCAAGTAAGTAGGTTCCTTTTTAGCCTGTTGATAAACTGTTATTAAAATATGTCACAGATATCAACTGTAACTGGTCAGAACTATTCTTTATGTAATTGTTGCAGTAAGCCTTTTTAATTTCAAACTTATAGACGCGCCATGCACAACAGATACCTCATGAGTTGAGGTTTGTAAAAATTTGTCTATTCCTCTATAAAGAAACGTCTTTAGACAAATCGTTGTTTTGCAAAATTCGGTTTCGCATGTATCTTAGTCGTATGATAAGACACTGGTAGATTTAACACAACTATTAAAAAAGGAGCTAACTGAATAGTTAGCAAAGATAAATAGTGGCTAGCAGCAGAATCCAGGAAGCGCATTTCGTCCTATTTGGGACTCGTCAGCTGAATGTACCTGCATCCCAGGGTTAATGTTCACTCTGGGACTCGAACCCAGTACCTTCACCCCATTGCACAAGCAAGTGGCCAAAGGTACTGGGTTCGAGTCCCAGAGTGAACATTAACCCTGGGATGCAGGTACATTCAGCTGACGAGTCCCGAATAAGACGAAACGCGCGTCAAACTGGATTCCACTGCTAGCCACTATTCATCTTTGCTTACCATGCTTGTGAAGTTAGGCTATATCAAGGCGAAACGCACAGTATGCACATATGCCAATTAGAGACTGACCAGTTGCAGTCCTAGAACATCAATGGGAAAATTCAAACAAACAATACTTAGTGAATTTAATTGGATAGTTTTTTCATGCAAGTAAGGGATTTCTTAATAATGCACACTCATAACTCTAAGAGGAATCGCGACCGGGAGCTTCAAGTCTTTTGATGAATGTTTAACCATTATAACAATTGATTCTAGGTTCATTGACTTAATTTTAACTTCAAGCAATTTAGAATAGATGTGAGGGCGAGGATCGGCAAAGCAAGAGTAGCATATTTACAACTGAAGAACATCTGGAACTCAAAACAATTGTCAACCAACACCACAGTCAGAATTTTCAATACAAATATCAAGACAGTTCTACTGTATAGGGCGGAGACGTGGAGAACTACGAAAGCCATCATCCAGAAGATACAAGTGTTTATTCACAATCGTCTACGTAAAATACTTCGGATCCGTTGGCCAGACACTATCAGCAACAAGTTACTGTGGAAGACAACAAACCAGATTCCAATGGAGGAAGAAATCAGGAAGAAGCGCTGGAAGTGGATTGGGCACACCTTGAGGAAATCACCCAATTGCGTCACATGGAATCCTGAAGGCCAAAGAAGAAGAGGAAGATCAAAGAACACGATAAGCCGAGAAATAGAGACAGACATAAGAAGAATGAACAAAAACTGGATAGAACTAGAAAAGAAGGGCCAGAACAGAGTGGATTGGAGAATGCTTGTCGGCGGCCTATGCTCCATTGTGAGTAACAGGCGTAAGTAAGTAAGTAATTTAGAATAGAATACAACAATCATCAAATCGCCATTCAGTGAAAGTTAATTACAATAGAAAACAACTTACTTCATGTCGTTTACTCAACATTTTCATTAGACGTTTTGGCGGTGAAGCACATAGTTCTGAAATTACCGATGATGTTTGATAATTTGGTGATAATTCTTTAGGAGCAGTTTTTATGAGATTACGTACTCGTTGAACAAGATCGGAAGACTAAAAATGAGTTTGTGTATGGAGAGAGAGAGAGAAAGACGGAGAGCAGTAATTGAACGTTAAACAGATCTAAGACTATAAAGTAGAACACAAATGACATTAATTAACTAATCAATAGTATCAACAGGTCCCATTCCTAATGGTGGCCAAACCAAGACGTAGAATCAGTTCACTGATCTATTTACTGCTGGACTGGACTATGTTGGTAGGTAGATGCAAATTACCTGATTGAGGTTCACACAATAACTGGGATCAGTGGATGGAAACATTTGGTGGTTCAAATGTATTCACTATTTGTCATCGCTTAGATCCTGAAAAGTGAAATCATTCTATATATGTTGTTTGGCGAATGAACTCTTTCTTCTTGAATCGTATTCTCTATGTCTATTTCTTTTATTGTCACTGATATTACTGTTATGCAGTAGCGAAGACATAAGTACGGGTAACCTGCAGGGCCTACTATTGGACTATCATTCTTATTGTATAACTATTCAGTAACTAGATTATCTATATCTATATTCATCTTATTATAAACTTCATTTTGACCTATTGATTATTATTGTATGATTTACTGTTCCTAAGTTATACTCAGTTTATTGATTATTGTCTCCCACGCTTACAGCCTCATTTGGCTTGGTTTTGTACAAATATTATTTTCTATTTTATGGTATGATGTGGCCTGCCTGTCTGATATATAAACAAAGTATGCTTGAAATAAACGATTCGTATTGCCGAGGCTGCTATTGGTGTTCTGGACTCAAGTGGACGGGTTAGGCGGATAAGGACCAATAAGGACGCTAGATTACTCATATTAATCGAACGTCATTGTCACAGTGTGAAGGTCGTAGAAGTCGCATTCTATTGGTGGATAATTTACGCGGATTACGTCCTTGTTAAATTCGTAAGGTCATAACGAATCAACGACGACCTTGATCAAGTCATAACAATTGGCTACAGCCTAGGTCAAAAACATAACAATTACTACTACGACTACGACTACTACTACTCCGATATCCCGTTTGATAATATCACCTAGATGTGTTGATTCGTTGTTGAAAATCGATCTTATGCATACATGTACCAGGTTCTACATCATCTCTGGCTAGCTGATTGAATGAGTATTCCTTGTTTCCTCGAGACCTTATTTATTCTAATGTCAAAAACAATAAAAACTATAGACTATTGTGGTTAAATAATTGATTTCAGATAAATAGATTCATCGCAAGATAGAGATGGATAAGTGATAAAAGTACTATAACTTTCAACCCGGTAGTAGTTGTTCAGTCAGTCAGCTACAACGTAGGACCTGGAACATTTATGCATCGATCCAAGTTGCCATACCTCGTTAGCACAATAAGATGAAAACCGAATTCATAGAAGTAGTTAATTCAGTGATGGTAGTATATAAAAGATAGGTTGTATATAAGGATATAGTATAGGAAGGAAGAACGTTATGAAGAAATTTTAATCTTAAGGTTTAAGGGAAGATAAAGAGTGTATACACCTACGACATTGTGATCCATTCTGAGCCATGTTACCTAGAGTCTCCAACCATTGGTTACGATAGTCACGCGGACCTCAATCAGGTAGTCTGCATCTGCCAAAATGGCTCAGACTATAAGTTAGTGACTTCAAGCACTGATGCCACTTTTTGGTTTGGCCACCCCTAACTCTCTTCCAACCACCCCCTACACTAGTCGGCATAGCGCGTCGTGGTAATCGGTGTTTAGGCATACGTAACACGTGGCCTAACCATCTCAGTCGATGAAGATTCATCACCTTATCGATGTTGTTCAGAAGAACAATGAAAGCTTCACGATCAAACTGTCCAACTTTTACAGAACAAGACTCTACCTGAAATACAAATCTTCTCTGTCGTATCATTCTTATATTGTTCTAACTACAAAATTTCTATTTAATTTATTTATTTTTAATGCTTTATCATAAGTAGTATATAACACTGGTCAGGAATAGAATGTCCGGAAGCAGAAGGTAATTGGTATGGAAATGCAGGAGCGGTGAAGACTGTGACGATTGACTGATACTTTGCAAATAAAGTATTTACTTACAGTTGATTGGTCACTGGGTGATGATCAATGTCATGCGTGTCAAGTCCTTCTTAGTGATGATCGAATGTCATCGATCAAGTTATAATGTGGTCACTAGTCTAGGTGGCTTGACACTGCCTGCATTATGTTGGGATAAGATGGTGGTTGGAGGTAGTCAACAGGAAACCCTGGACCCGGGTGTCGTGCTACTTGGCACTCGTCAGCAAGGTGTACCTGTAATCCTGAGGGAAATGGTGCTGTATGGTTCTCAAATTTTACTAAGATGTTCTGAATTTTTGTATTCAAATACATTCGATTGTCCCCATTTGTGTTCTCCTTCACTATAAATGTACGATTACTCAAGAGGTTATTGATTTGAAAATTAAAAAGTGAAATATAAACCAATATGAAGTTAGGGTTTTTATCACTAACTGACATCAGCTATAATGTCAACATTCTATTTAGCCAAATGGATAAATGAATTTCACGCAGACATCCAAGACCTATTATTCTTAATTTGATTACAGTTTCATCATCATTGCCCCCAAATGCTCTGATACAGACGAAAGTAGGAAGAGTACGCTCTCCATCGAAAAATGCTCTAACATGGCCACGCGTATATAGCCTATGCCAGGGAAGTCCAACTCACTGCCTTCTCGTGGCAGGAGTGTTGTTCACGAAAGTGAGAGGACAAAAAGCAAATGTCCTGCGTTTTAACCGGGTTCGTGGACACGCAAATTCCACCTAGGGGAGTTGAATAACCCTGATTCCAAATCAATGGTGCCCATAGGCTCCAGAATCCAGAAGGAACAAATAGCGTATGAACCAATCGTTCGTCACCGTCTACCATTAGGACTGCATCTCCTTACGATGCTCCATTGCTTTGTGAATCAGATCTTTAGATCAAATAAATCATCATCCTTAGGATAGTTTTATTGAATCAAAGAATAGGATGAACTTACTTCTGGTATATAAATCAACTTCTTTTCTATATCATTTCCATAGATAATACCATCTACACATGTACCATATTCACTATAATTAATTAATTCATAATGTTGGGTCCAATCATCATAGAATATTGTAGCATGATGTGGTGATATAAATGAACATTTATCATTATTATTATATGTTGAAGATAAATTATAATTAGCTAAACATAAATGACAATCTGGTGCTATAGAAACAAAAAAAAAGAAGAAGAAGAAGAATGTAAATGAAGGAAATTTGAATAGTTCATAATCGGTTGATGATCAAAGTTAACAAATATAAGGCCCTCGAATGTCCTGAAATGGTCGAAGGTAAGGAGAGGCAGATCTCTCTCACTCTCGAGAAATGCTCTCACATGTCCACGTACACATAACCATTGCCAGTGAAGTCCTACTCACTACCTTCTTGCGGAGAGGGTGTTATTTACGAAGTTAAGAGGATGAAATGCGAAACTTCGACGCTCTAACTAGGTCAGTGGATACGGAGAGTTCACCAAAGAGAGTGGGAAAAACCTGATTCCAAGCCAGTGGTGCAAATGGACTCCATTACCCTGAGGGAACAAATGATGTATGAACTTATTGTTGCTGACAGGCTATCATGGGAGTGCATCTCCTGACGTTGCTCTACTGTCTTGTGGATTAAACATGTAGGTCGAAGGCTTTAGGTGAGAACCCCTAAGGAAACCGCCTGATTTAGTTTGAGCACCCAGTCAGTATTGCAGCCGTCATACAAATCGAATGTTGAAGTGTTGTGCATATCTATTTGGTGCCTCCTTATGTGTCTTAATAAATAAATAAATAATAAGTATACAATGTACTCTGAATTATTTAACTAGAAGAAATCTGTGCCTGAAACCATTAATTGTAGTAAGATGTAAGAAATAGTTAGGAGGACTATATATCTAGTTAGCAGTGTAAGGACTGATGATAATATGGGAGATGAAATGAATCTGGCTGTAAACAGTCGAGTATACGACGGTTATGCTAGGATTATTTACAAGACCTAATACCTAGATGTTCGGAAACTTCTCTTACATCGATCACTGTGCTCCAGGATACTGATGAGAATTATACTGGTTTTACCTTCATGAAACACTGGCTATGATGTAGCCGTCCCCGCTTTATAAAAAATTACCAATGGATGTGTCAGCTTACGATGAAAGTTACTTTCATATACAAAACGAACTACATAAACATTGAACTTTGATTAAAAAACTACTGAGATAAGATGGTGGTTGGAGGTGGTCAACAGGAAACCCTGGAACTGAGTTTCGTGCTACTTGGCACTCGTCAGCAAAGTGTACCTGTAATCTTGAGGGAACTGGTGCTCCCTGGCGGATTCGATCCCATGTCACTCAGCTTCACAGTCGGAGACGCTACCACTGAGCTATTCAGGCCGCGACCAACCTCCTGTAGGACTGAGCTGACATATTTTCATAAAAATCACACATAACTGAAGGGTCCAGAAATAATGAATATCTACTAATGACCGCTAATGGCAGTTATCAGTGTGCACAGAGAAATAAAGATAGAATAGAATTACTTTTATAGGTAGACTTTTTTCTTACTTGAAATCATGAGCCAATTGAAGCTAGACCACCATGAAAAACCTGGAAGCACTGCATGACGGCCATTTCGTCCTATTATGGGACTCCTAAGCAGTGCGCATCCACGATCCCGCTCTCGCGAGATTTGAACCCAGGACCTATCAGTCTCGCACCAGAGCACTTAACCGATAGACCACTGAGCCGGCATCCAACGGTGTTAATGTCTAACTTCAACCAATCCACGATGTTTGAGCAACCGCACATCAATTGTCGGTTAAGTGCTCTGGCGCGAGAGTAATAGGTCCTGGGTTCAAATCTTGCGAGAGCGGGATCGTGGATGCGCACTGCTGAGGAGTCCCATAATAGGACGAAACGGTCGTCCAGTGCTTCCAGGTTTTACATGGTGGTCTACCTTTAATTGACTCATAATCTCAACCTTATGTCTGATTTGTTCACTTTATTTTTCTCCCTAAATTATTTTTTCTGGTTTAATGAATTGTCAATTTAAACTGATGAATATTTATTTTATTTTACATGATAACACTATTACACAGTATCCATGACAATATGAACTTAACAAACTAATCAATATTAGTTCTCTAGGATGTACACTTTCAAGACTTTGACCGATAAGTCTGCCAGGGAAGTCCTATTCACTGAATTCTCGTGGCGAGGGTGTTGTTCACGAAATTGAGAGGACGAAAAAAAACGTCTGACGCTTTAACCGGGTCGCTGGACACGGAGAGTCCACCTAGAAGAGTTGGAAAACCCTGATTCCAAACCAATGATGCACATGAGCTCCAGTATACTGAGGGAACAAATGGCGTATGAATCAATCGTTGGTCAACGGCTACCATGAGATTGCATCTCCTCACGTTGCTCTACTGCCTTGTGGATCAGACCTTTAGATCAAGGGTTCGGGTGTGGCCCCTTAATAAAACCACCTGCTTCAGTTTGGGTGTCTGGGAAGTATCACAGCCCTCATACAAATCAAATGAGATTTGTGTGGCTCATATGTATCTTTTGCCTCTTTGTACCAATATGTATGTTTTCAAATAAATAATAAATAATGTTCATTTATTTGCTGACTGAACTCTATTGATCAAGTTCCAATGTAGCTACGACTAGTTCTAATGACTTGATATAGTGTGGACTATGTTTTGATGTTAGATGGTTTGATGGTAATCAGCAGTAAACTAAGCATCTACGTTTCATGTTATTTGTACCTTGATCAATATAGTTCGATCAGTATGAAGGATTAAACAAACATGACAATACTTACTATTACTAAGTCACCAATGAATTTAGATATCTCATTCTTAAAAGAAGTTAGTGGAACTTGAAAGGTTTGACGACAATGTCTCAAACTATCAAGCTGAGTAACTAGGAGCAGAATAAGCTTTCTTACTGCAAGGATGGCTCGTTGGCAAACTCAAGAAGCCCCGAAAGAGCCGAAGACATTCCAACCAATCACCACTAGGGGAATATTCTAGAATGTCGAAGTGTAGCTTCCCTATTGGATGAATAAGAATGACCCACTATGTGCCTATTGGCTATCCGAAATGATGATTTACTTTCAGTCAAAAACTATAAAGTATGAAATTAAAAAAAAACACAAAAAAACTTACATGTACCAACAGTTAATTGCCTATAATGCATTCGAGTTTCATATCCATTCGTTCCATCACAAGGTGTTAAGACAGCTCTTGCACGAATACAACTTTCAGGAATATTTAATGCTTTAGAAGAATCTTTCTTTCTTTTACAACTATTCTGTTCAATATTGTTTTGATTAGATAAAATAGAATTTTGATTGTTAACATCTAAGAGTTCATAAAGACGTTGGACTGCTAATGTATACAACAATTGAGGATCTAAACGAGCCAATTTAGAAGGTACTATGTATGGAAATAGAATTTGAATATAGGTTATTTTACTTTATATGATTGCTTCAAACATGATAAACATATTCAAAAACTATGTAACTTAAAGATTCCTGGTTTAAACTGTAACATGAGAAGGAAAAGAAAAAAACAGAATGAAGTACTACAAATTCGCTCTCCATCTATCGCTTCAAAAGGCTTGTTTTACATGAGTTTATCCGGGGACCATGTGGCATCTTCGTCTGGTCTTGCTGGCGTTAGTGTTGCACTAAGCGCTAGAGCTGAGGCAACACTAATCGATTGGATCCCCATTAACAGTCGGTTATGTGTTGTTAGATTAGAAAGTTCCATCAAACTGAGAAGAAATCAGCGTGAGAAACGATGTCTTTTCGTTATCTCTGCCTATGACCCGACAGATTGCAGCCCGGATGCAATCAAGGATGAGTTTTATCACCCGTTAACTGTTCTTCTTTACAAATATTGTAGATATTGTAGTACTACACGGAGACTTGAATGCTTAGGTCGGATGTCCAGGGACAGAAGAGAGTCATCTAGGTCGCCGATAGGGACTTGTTGGTCGCATGTCAGATAGCGGGGACCGTCTGCTGCAACTGTGCGCAGACCACAACCTGTTTTTGGCGAGCACTAACTTCCAGCATGGTCATCGCCGATCTGCCACCTGGAGTCCTCCCTCTGTATCTCAAACCTGTACTCAGATTGATCACATTGCGATCACCTACCGCTGGAGTGGTTGTGTACAAGAAGTGGGGTTAGACAGGCTTGCCCAATCTCACCATTCCTCTTCAACTTTGCCATCAATGATATTGTGGAAACAGCTCTGATGGATGTAGGTAATGGTGGTGTGGATCGGTTGCCTGGAGAAAGATTTCTCGACCTTGAGTGTGCGGATGATATTGTCTTACTGTGTGATGATACCCAAACCATGCAATCCGCACTTAATCAGTTGGCAATCTATGTCCGTAGGTACAGTATGTGCCTTGCACCTTCGAAGTGCAGAGTAATTCTACAAGACTGGCAGGATTCTAATCCTGTACTCACCCTGGATGGTGAGCAGATTGAAGTAGTTGAGAAGTTCGTGTATCTAGGTAGCTGCAGAAGCGCTGGAGGTGGCGTGAGTGATGAGATCGATGAACGTATAGTGAAGGCCAGAGCGGCTTATGCCAATCTAAGCCATCTTCGGCACCTTCGTGATGTTAATCTGGCTGTAAAAGGTCGGATCTACAACGCGTCGATGAGAGAAGTTTTGCTCTATGTTTATGAAACCTGGCCTCTCCAAGTTAAAGATGTTAGACGACTCTCTGTGTTCGACCATCGTTGTCTCCAAAGGATTGCTGACATCCAGTGGCAATACTGTGTTAATAATGCAGGGGCTCGGCATCATGTGTTTGGGCACAGTGACGATAATTCGATTAGTGTCACTGTCGTGAAACGCTGATTTCGGTGGCTTGGACATATTCTACGAATGTCGTGCATTGTTTGCCGATACTGAGACTAGTTGGAAAAAAGCGGAGAGGTGGTCAGTGTATGACATGGTCTCGTGATATGAAAGAAAGCTAAAAAGAATTAGCTTCTGTTGGTACTTCACGACCGCTTGATTGAGGTCTTAGAGGTGGTGCAACACAATGTCTCGAGACGTTATCAGATATAGCTCAGAATATTTATGTGTTCAAATAAATAAAAAAAACAGTTATAAAGAAAAGATATTTTCTCTTTTAACTTACTACTATTATCATCAGTTATATCATTCAATTTATTCATAACTGTTGTATTCCATTGTTCCAAGGAATGACACAAATCTTCATTATTATCATGAATAAAGGAAGGATCTTTAGATAACTCTCCTGTATTGTATGACAGTGTTGATAAACTGTTGTTAATATCCATTCCAATTGAATCTGTAGTTAGTTTCAACGCATCCGTGGTCTTGTTATCTATTACGAATGAACTGGATGTATTATCATTATTATCATTATTGAGGAGGTCGTCAATAGCTGTTGTTGTTGTTGTGACAGTAACAGGAGTTGCCTCAAACGATGAAGTTGACAAAGTTGTTGAATGAGTAGTGACAATAGTCGAACTAGTATCAGTAGCCGTTGTACTGTTATCTGTTTGTATTAGATTTGATGATGGTGAAAGTAATTTTAATGTATTTTGTAAATAAAATTGTAAAAGGCCACGAACAAACTTTTGGTTGCCAATGAAACAAAGAAAAACATGAATGAAACAAAGGATTAGTAATCAATTGAAGATGATTAGAATCAATAAACGATTGAATAATGAATAAGAACAGACAAGTTATACACATTAGGCGATTTCAGGTAATTGATACTTACTTACTTGCTTACTGACTTACTAATGCCTATTACCCCTCGAGGAGGAGCATAGACCGCTCACAAGCATTCTCCATCCAACTCTGTCCTGTGCAATCCTTTCCTGTTCGTTCCAGTTGTTATCCATCCTTTTCATATCCGCTTTAATCTCCCGGCGTAATGTGTTCTTTGGCCTTCCTTTTTTCCGCTCCCTTTCCGGATTCTAAGTTAGAGATTGCCACGTGATGCCGTCTGGTGATTTCCTTAATGTATGTCCGGTCCGCTTCCAACGCCTTTTCCTAATTTCCTCTTCAGCTGGAAGCTGGTTTGTCCTCTCCCATATAACGCTGTTGCTGATAGTATCCGGCCAGGAAATTATAAACTCGAAACCTAACGATCTTGGCTTGAATCCACTTCGCTGAAGAAACAGCATACTAAGAAGTACCAACTAGCATGAAATCTAAACGGAATGGGATTTCCTGCTCACTATCTCCAACTACCTGACATCAAGACAATATCTACAACATTTTGAGTCACTTAGACTAGTGTTCACATTTGAACATGATCAACAGAATCTAATCAGAACTAAAGACTAAACACACATGACATTTATCACGATTCAGTAACTAATCAATCTTACCTAATTCTGTATGGAGGAATTGAATAAAATAGTTAAGATCAAGAGTCAATTGAAGCTAGACCATAATGGAAAACCTGGAAGCACTGCTTGATGGCCGTTTCGTCCTACTATGGGACTCCTCAGCAGTGTGTATTTACGATTACGCCTCGCGAGATTCGAACTCAGGACCTACCAGTCTTGCGCCAGAGCACTTAACCGATCAAACATAAATCAAATTCACAACAATAAAGGGAGGAATAAAAAAGAGGAACTTACTATACTCTTATCATCTGTACTGCATTCATCCAGTAAATTTGTTAATTGACATATATTTGATGATTCGTTAACACGTGGGATTCGTTTCACTGGATTATTATATAAATATTTAACTGCTTTCGGTACCTTAATAGATAAGGAAATGAAAATTTGAGGAAATATAACAACAACAAAAATAGTAGAGACAATGGACAATAAGTAAGTAATAGTGTGATTAGATACAGGGTACTAGGGAATGATGGTAAATCAGTTGATGAGGCTGTAAATCTTTACCAACTGAGATGGTTGCGCCATGTACTACTCATGCACAACCACCGATTACCACAACGCACAATTCTGACTAGCATTGGAGATGGTTGAAAGAAAGTTAGGAGCGGCCAAACCAAAATGTGGCATCAGTGCTTGAAATTACCAACTTCTAGTCTGAGCCATGTTGGTAGATACAGACTACATGGTTTGGGTCCGCATGACTATCGTGTCCAATAGTTGAAAACTCTAGGTGACATGGCTCAGAATGGATCACAATGGTGTAGGTGTATACCCTCTCTGCCTTCCTTTAAACCGTGAGATCTAAATTGCTTTATATCTTTCTTTCTTCGAACTAATTCTTTCTTCATGTATTATATTCTTATATATTGCTACCATTGAAGTAACTACTATGAATTTGATGTTCATGTTTTTGTGCTAACGAGGTGTGGCAACTTGGACCGATGCATAGATGTGCCTGGTCCTACATTGTAGTTGCCACACCTCATTAGCACAAAAACATGAACACTAAATTCATAGAAGTAGTTACTTCAATGGTAGCAATATATAAGAATATAATACATGAAGAAAGAATTAGTTCGGAGAAGGAAAGATATAAAGTAATTTAGATCTCACAGTTTAGATGAAGACAAAGAGGGTATACACCTACACCATTGTGATCCATTCTGAGCCATTTCACCCAGTCTCCAATTATTGGTTATGATAGTCGAGCGAACCCCAACCATCTACCAACACGACTAAGACGAGAAGTTAGTGACTTTAAGCACTGATGCTACGTTTTGGTTTGGCCGCTCCTAACTCTTTTCCAACCATCCCCTACACTAGTCAGCATTGTGTGTCGTGGCAATTGGTATTTAGACATACGTAACACGTGACCAAGCATTTCAGTCGATGGAGATCCACAACCTTATCAACTGGTTTACCATCATTCTCCAATACAATACCCTGTGTCTAACCTCACTATTACTTACCCGGTGATCCCAGCAAATGCGAGCAATATTTCTAAGACACCTGTGGTCAAATAGTAGTAACTCACGAGTATCTTCTACTCTTAATGGCCACGTTTCGCAGCCGTAAAGTAGAACAGAACAAACTACCTCGCAGTATACTCCTCCCTTAATTGATAGATGGATATCTCGCTTTCGCCATAGGTGACGTAAATTGACAAAAGCCAAACGGGATTACTGCATCCGTGCAGATATTTCGTCAGTCACCAACCCATTAGGGTTGATCAGACTTCCAAGATAAGTGAAGTTGTCGACGCGTTCGACTACCTGTGAAAAAACATGTTCAGTACGCGTCATTATAAACTCTAGCGCGTTATCTACTAGGTTACTGAGTGACTATGATCATCAAATCGATAGATTAACATACTATAAGTTATCATTTACAAAAATTTGTAGTCAACTTGTAAATAAAAGTAATATCCGGAACACTTTTTGATACTGATTCAATTCAAAATTCAATACCAACAATGGGGGGATTTCTGAAATCTCATTTAGCTTTTCAGAAACTTGTCTTTAATAGACAATTTTGAAGTATGGTTCTGTTCATCGAGTACGAGAACGATATGATGTTTATATATACAAAGACTTTCAGTTTTTTATATTCATATGACGGTATTTTCAGTTATTTAGTGTGGGGTGCAAAGAAATAACCAACAAATTCAAAACTAAAGCAAAAATCACCCTCACCCTTACTGGCATAACGTCACAACCCGAGTCTTCAACTTACAGGTCTAATCCACAAGACAGTGGAGCAACATTGAGAGATACGGTCCCATGGTAGCCGGTGACCAACAATAGGTTCATACGCCATTTACTCCCTCAGAATCCTGGAGCCCATGTGCACCACTAACTGACTGACTGACTAATGTGTACCAATGCTTTGGAATCAGGGTTTTTCAACTTCCCTGGGTGGATCCTCTATATCAACCCGGTTTAAACATCAGACTAATAGCAGATTCTTGATTTTGTGATACCTAATCCAGTTCGCTCAGTATCACTAGCTGTTACAGCAAACACAAGTGTAACTCAAAGCCAAATATACAACCTTTTGAAATAGAGCTATAGAACATATAAAGCTGTAAGATACTTACTACATACTTACCACAATTCTTATCTGTTTACTATAATAATTATGATTATTTCTAGATTTTGCTGCTAATTCACGATTTAAACGCCATAAATGACGACTGGACAATATATGTTGTTTATCTTTGATAGTAGTAGCATTATTAGTAGTATATAATATGGAATCGAAAATACTTGACATTGCTGTATTGGATAAGTCTGACGACGACAGCTGATACTGTTGTTGTTCATTTCTACTTCGTTGAATAGTACGCATTAAATCAGAAAGGATGGAACTTTCTTCATCTGGTGTATAAGTTAATTCATATGGCGGTATATGTTCAAGTATTTTTGTTATTTCATCCACTTCATCAATAGATTGTTGTTCACCATTACTATTCTCATTACTTAATGAATATAATTTAGTCCAAATTTGCATACGTTCAGTGAGTCGTATTGAACGAGCTAAATAACGTTCAGTTGTATGCTCTGTATGATTTGGACACATCCAACGATCTGAACGTGGTGGATAATGAGATAATGGTGGATTTAAACATTCTAAATGAAAGCATGCTGAACAATAATCACATGGTAACAATGGAGCATAGAAACATGTTCTGAAAAATAAATTTAAAAAAATAAGTTGAAAAATTGATTGGATGAATTTTTTATTATTTTATTTAAACACATATATATTGGTACAAAAGGGCACCAGGTACATATGCGCCACACAAAATAATGAAAGTAGGTAGATAAAGGATGAAAAGATAAGGCGGGCTGAAATGTACAACCAGAAGATTCTTTCAGTTAGGAAAGTTAGAACCATTCTTTATGTAGAAAGTAAAAGAAGGTTGCAGCAGGATCGCCACTGGCTTCTATTCTGAGCCATATCCGATAACGTCTCTAGCCACTGTGTTGCACTATCTCTCGGACCCCAACCAGGGAGTCGTGAAGGACCAACGGAAGCTAGCCCTTTGCAGCTCTCTTTCATTCCACGACACCATGTCATACACTGACCTCCTCTCCGCTTTCTCCAACCAGTCCCAGGGTCGGCAAATAATGCACGACGCGGAAGTCTCTGGGACGACATTCGTAAAACATGTCCGAGCCACCGAAGTCGGTGTTTCAAGATGGTGACACCAATTGAATTATCGTCTCTGCGTCCGAACACACGATGCCGAACCTCTGCATTACTAACATGGTGTTGCCACTGGATGTCAGCAATCCTTCGGAGACAACGATGATCGAACACAGAGAGACGTCTAACATCCTCAACTCGGAGAGGCCAGGTTTCACAAGCATAGAGCAAAACTGCTCTCACCGACGCGTTGTAGATCCGACCTTTTACAGCCAGACTAACATCACGAAGGCGCCAAAGATGGCCCAGATTGGCATAAGCCGCTCTGGCTTTCATTATACGTGCATCAATCTCATCACTCACGCCACCACCAGCACTTATATAGCTACCTAGATACACGAACTTCTCAACTACTTCGATCTCCTCACCATCCAGGGTGAGTACAGGATGAGAATCCTGCCAGTCTTGTAGAAGTACTTTGCACTTGGAGGGTGCAAAGCACATGCCGTACCTGCGGACACTGATTGCCAACTGATTAAGTGCTGATTGCATGCCTTGGGCATTATCGCACAGTAAGACAATATCATCCGCATACTCGAGGTCGAGAAATAGTTGGATACATAAAGTATAATCCTAAAGCTTAAATTCTAATCCCAGCATTTATCATGAATCCTTAATTCATATTTTTTTGGTTTTCTGATTGTTAGAATAGGCTTAAGTCCCAGATTAACTCGGGTTTATTATAGGTTAATTCATTTGACCCTTACGACAAATTTCCAGGCTATAACTATGAATGGTAAGCAGAGATGGATAGTGGCTAGCAGCGGAATCCAGGACGCGCGTTTCGTCCTATTTGGGACTCGTCAGCTGGATGTACCTGCATCTCAGAGTTGATGTTCACTCTGGGACTCGAACCCAGTACACTCGCTTCAGACGCCATCGCGTTATCCACTCGGCCACTGAGTCCTGATAGCCAAACAAACAATACTAAGTGAATTTATAACTATGAATATTAAGAATATTGTGATTAGTTTAAGTGTTATCATATCTTTATATACAACCTAGCTTTCATATACTACCAACGCTCCCAAATGCCCTGGTACGGCTGAGACTGGGAAGAGTCCGCTCTCCCTCTCCAAATGCTCTCACATGGCCACGCCAATATATAGCCTCTGCCACACAAGTCCACCTAGGGGAGTTGGAAAACCTTGATTCAAAACCAATGGTTCACATGGGCCCCAGTATCCAAATGGAACAAATGACGTATGAACCAATCGTTGGTCACCGGCAACCATGGGACTTCATCTCCTCACGATGCTCCACTGCCTTGTGGATCAAACCTTTAGGTTAACGGCTCCGGGTGCGCCCCCCCCCTAAGAAAACCACCTGTTTCGGTTTGAGCACCCGGGCAGTATCACAGTCCTCACATGAATCAAATGAGATTGGTGTAGCGTATATATGTCTGGTGCTTCCTTGTACAATATTTATGTGTTTAAATAAATAAAATAATAAAAGTTTAAAAACACATTGGTTGTTAAAGCTTAACTTAGATTAAGCTACATAAGCTCTGACATATTTGAAATCAAACAGTCATAAATTTAAACAAAAACAACTTGTGATAGTATTCAGCAATCAAATCATTTAAGAGTGATATGTCACGCATACATCTATAATCATAAAAATGATTTTTTAGCTTACCGAACACAAACATAACAACGTCTTACAGGTTGTGGAATAAGACCATTCTCTAATTCGATGATACTTTTATTTTTGCGTTCTGTTGGTGTTTTATATGAACCTTAAAAGGTAATTGAAAAACAAAACAAAACAGACGAACAAGATAAGTAATGTATTAATCTCTTCCTTAGCTTCGAAGAAATCGAGAACCAATTTACGTAGAATAGGTGGATTTGTATTTAGCGAGAAAGCATATAATCGGTGTTTGTGTCAGTATCAGAACTCGGAACCAGTATATTTCGCTTTAAAAACCCAATGCATTATTTACTAAGCTACCGAGTCCAGATAGCTACTTACCTGTGATATGGATGCGACATTTATATGATTATTAGAAGGAACTTGAATTAGCATATTGTTTAAATCCCAGTGTGAACATCAGCACTGGGATGTACGTATATCCAGGTGATGGGTTGCATATAGGATGAAACACGCATCCTAGGACCTACTAGGTGTATACACTCTTTATCTTCCCTTAAACCTTGAGATTAAAATTGCTTCATAACGTTCTTCCTTCCTATACTACATCCTTATATACAACCTATCTTTTATATACTACCACCACTAAATTAACTATTTCTATGAATTCGGTGTTGATCTTGTTGTGCTAACGAGGTATGGCAACTTGGACCGATGCATACATGTGCCTAGTCCTACGTTGTAGCTGACTGACTGACTGGGACCTACTATTAGCTATGAATGCATCTATTCTATGAAAACGTGAAAAACAGTTATATTGAAGCAATTTACACAGGATGCATATGTTTGAACGAAGACTGATCAAAAGTGAATCAAGGTTATCAAAAACGGGATAATCAAAATCCTATCTAACAATGACATAAATCAAGTTAAGCCAATAGTAAACAAATATCTAATAGACAGTTATTTGGCGATAATCAGATTACTCTACACTATTGTACATTAAAACATATATAACGTTTTAAAATGAAGGTAGTCTATGTGATAACGGATAGAATTTTGGATTGTTCATGTCACCAATAGTAGCTATTAGACCAAATATGAATGATTACGTGAAATATACCAGTCACAATTACCTAATTATTCAATTGAAAGCTATGTTAGATCAGAACTACATTTAATTATTTCACGATACATAGTAGTCAGTAAGTGGAATCAAAAAGGAATACACTTCATGTAGCATAGCTTTTTATATTTATTGTAGTTGGATATGTCTATCTACAGGTTACAAAAGAAAATCTAAAACAAGCACGAGGACTTTTGTAGTGAACCACCAGTATAGTGATGATATACTTTTTTGTAATTCCATAAATAAATAGATTTGAACAAGATTGATATACAATTAAATAGTTTAGTTGCTAAGTTATCAACCATGATGCTATTGCTTGTAAAATTGTTTCGTTCCTGTTTGAATACTCAATCTATTGCAGATATACAAGATCAAATACAAAATTAAACCTAGACTACTTGAGATTTGTTCATAAATAATTCAACTAAACTATTGAGGTTTAAGGTGACGCCTGGAAGAGAGACTTCTGAAAAATCCATGAAATATTGGAGGCTATTTATGGGGATGGATCTTTTCAAGTAAATCAATTTATTTTAGTGGTGGTATTGAAGTCTCTAAGAACGGTACAAAACCAGGGTTATTGTGGATCTCCTGTGCTAGCGTGTTCGATCTTATTTGCCACTCGACCGACCAATTCTCTACCATGATAATGATTGATGAACTGAAATTGGGAAAATTGTTTATGTATACAATTCTAGTAAAGGATTAAATGAAAAAAAAATGGGTAAAAATTCTAGCTTCCGATAACTTGTAGAAATACTTTAAACAAAACGTATGGAGATTAGACAAATGTGTCACTGGGAGTAGGAGTTCACTTAAAATAACATAAGTTAGCTTTGCACTAAACTTCTTAAAATGATATCATTATGAATATCGTGTGTTGATTTTTATTGAAAAGATCCATCGACGTTTATACCTACCAGGAAGTTTAACACCAGGTAATAAGTCTTTCGGTAGATCATATTCTTTTGGGTTTTGATATTTTGCATATTCAATTACTTTCCATAATGCTCTTAGCTCAGATTCTTCGATATCAGCAACATAAGCTGAATCACCCCAAGTACTAGAACGACTACTTGATAGTTTATTCATATCCAAACAATAGTTTTCGTTAGATGTCGAACGGAATGTATAATGACGTCTGCTGGTTTGTGATTGGATAAATTGTTGCAGTGGAGTTTGTTGATGAGAATGACTATTATTATTGTTGTTATTACTGATGGAAGACGTAGAAGTGGAATTCGATGGTCCAACTGTTGCTGCTGTTGCAGTTCCAACCGATGATGATGATGATGCTTGATCTTGGCGTTTGTGTCCACTTTTGCCAGAACGTGAAGAACCTGTATCTGTGGCTATAGTTGTCTGACTACTTGATGTTGAAGTTTTATCTTCTTCATCCTGTTATGTATTAAAAAGGGAACGAATAAATAAATTTAGAAATGAATGAAAATATCAGCTGGTAAATATGTGTTATTTTTGAATCAGCATATTTGTAAAAAGAAAACGCTAATAGGATGAATTCAATTGAAAGACCTTTCTGTTAACTCTAACTATTTGAATAGACGATTTGATACTCTATAGACATTCAGTTACGAGCAACGTAAGACCTGGAACAAACATGATACACGAAAAGCTGTAAACTTTAAATTTCAACACACAGAGAAGGGAAACTAATGAAAAAGAATTTCAAGGTACTTTACCTGATTTTTGTTAAAGTAAATAGGTACTTAAGGAAATTAAATTTGAGAATGGCTATCATTATAGTGCATTACAAGGCAATCCCTAACTTGGAATCCGGAAGGGAAGCAGAAAAGAGAAAGGCCAAAGAACACATTACGTCGAGGAATAGAAGCAGATATGAAAAGGATGAATAACAACTGGAAAGAACTGGAAAGGAAGGCTCAGGACAGATTTGGATGGAGAATGCTTGTGAGCGGCCTATGCTCCTCCACGAGGGGTGACAGGTGTAAGTAAGTAAGTATCATTATAATCAGATACTAGCCGAAAAACAATTGGAAGTTAGAGACTGCTAAACAGCTGATAAATCACATTAGATTTCCATGACACTTCGCACACTGGAGGTTACGATCGTTTCTGGCAACAAGTATGTCACCATGCAGTCTTTGTGTAGAAACAAATTGCCTACACATAATTTATATGGCTTTCAAGGGCTAGCAATATTCTATATACATGAACTTGAAACTACGGTTATTTACAAATACTCTAATAAAATAAAGTAGTCAAATTAAAAAACATAGAATTAACGTAAAACCAGACGTTTTATTTTAAATGAATAAAATTTATCAACTTAGGCTCATCGTTCAACTGTCAATGAACAAAGTAAATATTTGATTGACAAATATAAAGTCCAAGTTGACGTACTTTCAACACCATTGAACATCGATGACAAAACCAGACACCAACAGGTGCTTCATCCGGATCTAATGGTGGATCAAGACATTCAAGGTGAAAACTGGCTGGACATCGATCGCAGACAAGTCTTTCGCCTTCAATACAGCCACAACTATCACAATATTCATGACAATTGGCACGAGGTTTCCTCCAAAATGGATCGTTTTTTGCAGATGTATTTGGTAGTTGGTAGTGCTCTAAACTGGAACTATTCGTCTCCGAACTGTTTGTCGTTGATTCATTATTTTTTCTTGCCCGACGAAAAGAAGGCTAATAACAGTTTAATATTTATATGTAGGTAAGAAGACTACAAAAAACTTACAATACCGAGTGAACCCTTTTTACCGTATGATTCATTTGTTGGCGGAGCAAATAATGCATTGATCTCATGCATTAAACTCTCTCTATGTTGTGAACTGCTGTCCCCAGACGACATATCTAAAACATATCAATCGAAAACAATTTAGTTTAGGGGAAACTATAACTGCAAGTAAAACTTTATGGGAAATCTTTATAGATCTTTTTAGTCGTCAAATGAGAAAGGAAGGTATGTTAAAATACCCACAAGCTCAATCAAATATTGAAGGGTAACATTAATGTCTCCTGTAACCTATGGCCGGGTGGCAGAGAACTGGATGATTACTAAAACTACAGTCAAAATTCAGTTTACAATTCATTGTCCAGAGATAAAAATACTGTACTATGGAATGCAGTAACCAATTTAATATGAATTAAAGCCACTTTTCTCGCGGCTTGAAATCAAATAGTATTTTCGGTTACATGGATAGAATAGAGATTTTAATGCATTTAGGTTAATGTATGATTAGTTTGTGTAGTTAGTAGTACTGTTCTTGGAAGTTTGAGCAAGTTTGGTTACGCCAAAAGAGATTTCACCTCTGTGTTAGAAAACTAACTGAGCTTCAGTGGAGAACACCAACAAATGCTCAATTACTATGAGTGACTGGCAGAAAAATTATGAAGATGATTTTACTAAAGCACATTCTGACAATTAAAAATAATAGACAAGCTTTTGAAAATTAACACTAAGCCATAGACGTTTGGGATCATGATTATGAAGATTAAACATACCCTCCCGACTTTTTAGTACGTGCACATTAACGGTGAAGTACTGAGAGACTGACACTTATGAAGTGTAATAAAAACAGAATCTATGTTGGTTAGCGATCATATCCATCAACGGAAAGTAAGAGACAACCTGTATAATGACCCACATATACATACATTAGCTAAAGACTTGAATTTCCGAAAAATAGACCAGTGTTTATCAGGTGAAAGAGTTAAATACACCTAAAAGACCAGGTTAGTTGTAGGGTTTTAAACTTAGAAAATAGGTGAAAAAAGTGGCATTCATACTTAAACCTGAATGTCAACAACAGAATTTTATGGAATGAATTTATATAACGTTCGGATGAAATACCTGTAGGACAGAACTAGGCAATAAAATTATACGAAGTAACGAAATATCTCAAAATAAACACTGATCATGACCTCAGAAGACATCGATCCAATATCCAATGTCTACTCAAGGAATCAAAATCAAAAATTTGTTTATTGATAGAGTAGTAATCAGTATGGGATCGAATTGAACTTCCTACTATTCTAAAAAAGAAAAATAATGGAGTGGTGGAATTGAAATGTGGTCAAGAAATAATGTGCAATGTTTAAGCAAGAGAACACGACGAATACAAAGAGAGTTTGATGAATTTTCCTTCATTATTTAAGAGTAAACTTTTCTTTTCAACGTTCCATTGTGGAGAGCAACAGTTTTATTAATTCGTTGAACTTAAATTATGTTGTGCGATCGTGAAAATAAAAGTGAATAAAGTGTTCGGAAATTGATCACATTTGTGGGCAAAGTCGTATCGTTTGTTTGTTGTTTCCCTTTTATGTCTGCCTTTGAGAACAACATTAACCATGATTAAACACTGTATAGGAAGATATTGAGTGAACAGAATCGCCTGGTTGCCAAGTCCTATTACGACACTCTAAAAAGTTATCAGACAGTGTTTCCCTAACATAACGTTCGTGGAGTGGTTAGTAAATTCCGAAAATCCATGGTTCTGTTCGGAATATTCTAGCTGGAGGCCCTCACTCACACATCGACAACAGATCACCACTGGGTAAGTAATGCCACTCGTCTTCGAAATTCTTCATTCTTGAATTCTGGCTTGACTGGATTTGAGGTCCACCCCACCAAAAAGGTGTTATAGATAAAGCATGGAATGTTTATAAAGTCATCACCATTATTGGATTCAAGTCCTTGATCAGCTTCGGTACACTTATATTTTTTACCATAAAGGAAGACCTAATCTACTGTTGTGGAATTGCTATGATGTGACAATTATCATGGAATTTTCTGATGAAAAAGGAACACAGAGACGAATGTGATCAAGATTCCAGAACAGTTATTCTCAAGGATTAGCTAATGTTCATCGATAAAATCTTACTTCCTTTAAAAGCTGCTCGCTCTTAAAACATTTTGTTTGTTTCTCACAGAAATATTCCTGCATCAAAAATCGGAAGCTATCTATGAATGCGACCGTCCATGAATACAGTAAGCCTTTGGAAAGGTCAGACATAAGAGACTGCTCTCTAACTCAGTGATATCCCAACTAAGAATAACTTTTTTTTTCTATAAATTCTTTATACTAATTCTTTATACTAAAACCAAAAATGACTACTAGAAAACTGCCAGTTGTATGTTCGGAAGACGGTTCAAAGTACTTATAAAATATCTTAAACAACGCAACTGCAGAACTGTCCCATTAGTAGACCTTTGTTGTCAATTTCCATCCATGAATGAAAAGCAGATACATCTGAATTAAAATTGCTAATCACCTATCAGTATCTATATTACTATAATCTGACGTCATCACGATGCTAAGAGGAATAGAAAATTGACTGGATAACTTAGAACTTAATGACCCCCAAAAGTCATCTGAGTTATTTAGAATGTGACAGTTCTTAATAGTGATTGCAAGTGAATTGAGCAGTGTATCGGTCAACCAGGTGTACAAACTGTTGAGTGAGTATTATTTAACATTTCACTGTTCAGAAACATACTGACCTGAGAGTAGTGTGATGGATCCCAGCGGAAGAGCTCATTCAAGATATAACAATACGAAAATTTACCAATGATATACCAGAGAGAATCAGAACTGCAAACTGGAGTGTCTGTCTGTGAGTATAGCGAAACGACAACAAATTACAGTTATAATTTGAACAGTATATAATATAACAAAGTGATTGCAGTTGATATTAAATGAGTGTTACTTGTAAGCTGCTCTCTAAGACAACAACCACAAATGAGTTCTCTTCACTAACGAATATTCATCTACACATGGTGGCGTCAACGACGTAGTGAGAAAGATTAAGTTCGATAGTTGTATTCGGCAGTCCGGGCCGAAACTTCAATGTAGCACCGGACAGCATAAAATGATGCTATTCCTTACGTGATATCCCAACTAAGAATAACTTTTTTTCTATAAATTCACAATATTCTTTATACTAATACCAAAAATGACTACTAGAAAACTGCCAGTTGTATGTTCGGAAGACATTAATTAGTGGAGCGGTTCAAAGTACTTATAGAATATCTTAAACAACGCAACTGCAGAACTGTCCCATTAGTAGACCTTTGTTGTCAATTTCCATCCATGAATGAAAAGCAGATACATCTGAATTAAAATTGCTAATCACCTATCAGTATCTATATTACTATAATCTGACGTCATCACGATGCTAAGAGGAATAGAAAATTGACTGGATAACTTAGAACTTAATGACCCCCAAAAGTCATCTGAGTTATTTAGAATGTGACAGTTCTTAATAGTGATTGCAGGTGAATTGAGCAGTGTATCGGTCAACCAGGTGTACAAACTGTTGAGTGAGTATTATTTAACATTTCACTGTTCAGAAACATACTGACCTGAGAGTAGTGTGATGGATCCCAGCGGAAGAGCTCATTCAAGATATAACAATACGAAAATTTACCAATGATATACCAGAGAGAATCAGAACTGCAAACTGGAGTGTCTGTCTGTGAGTATAGCGAAACGACAACAAATTACAGTTATAATTTGAACAGTATATAATATAACAAAGTGATTGCAGTTGATATTAAATGAGTGTTACTTGTAAGCTGCTCTCTAAGACAACAACCACAAATGAGTTCTCTTCACTAACGAATATTCATCTACACATGGTGGCGTCAACGACGTAGTGAGAAAGATTAAGTTCGATAGTTGTATTCGGCAGTCCGGGCCGAAACTTCAATGTAGCACCGGACAGCATAAAATGATGCTATTCCTTACGTGATATCCCAACTAAGAATAACTTTTTTTCTATAAATTCACAATATTCTTTATACTAATACCAAAAATGACTACTAGAAAACTGCCAGTTGTATGTTCGGAAGACATTAATTAGTGGAGCGGTTCAAAGTACTTATAGAATATCTTAAACAACGCAACTGCAGAACTGTCCCATTAGTAGACCTTTGTTGTCAATTTCCATCCATGAATGAAAAGCAGATACATCTGAATTAAAATTGCTAATCACCTATCAGTATCTATATTACTATAATCTGACGTCATCACGATGCTAAGAGGAATAGAAAATTGACTGGATAACTTAGAACTTAATGACCCCCAAAAGTCATCTGAGTTATTTAGAATGTGACAGTTCTTAATAGTGATTGCAAGTGAATTGAGCAGTGTATCGGTCAACCAGGTGTACAAACTGTTGAGTGAGTATTATTTAACATTTCGCTGTTCAGAAACACACTGACCTGAGAGTAGTGTGATGGATCCCAGCGGAAGAGCTCATTCAAGATATAACAATACGAAAATTTACCAATGATATACCAGAGAGAATCAGAACTGCAAACTGGAGTGTCTGTCTGTGAGTATAGCGAAACGACAACAAATTACAGTTATAATTTGAACAGTATATAATATAACAAAGTGATTGCAGTTGATATTAAATGAGTGTTACTTGTAAGCTGCTCTCTAAGACAACAACCACAAATGAGTTCTCTTCACTAACGAATATTCATCTACACATGGTGGCGTCAACGACGTAGTGAGAAAGATTAAGTTCGATAGTTGTATTCGGCAGTCCGGGCCGAAACTTCAATGTAGCACCGGACAGCATAAAATGATGCTATTCCTTACGTGATATCCCAACTAAGAATAACTTTTTTTCTATAAATTCACAATATTCTTTATACTAATACCAAAAATGACTACTAGAAAACTGCCAGTTGTATGTTCGGAAGACATTACTTAGTGGAGCGGTTCAAAGTACTTATAGAATATCTTAAACAACGCAACTGCAGAACTGTCCCATTAGTAGACCTTTGTTGTCAATTTCCATCCATGAATGAAAAGCAGATACATCTGAATTAAAATTGCTAATCACCTATCAGTATCTATATTACTATAATCTGACGTCATCACGATGCTAAGAGGAATAGAAAATTGACTGGATAACTTAGAACTTAATGACCCCCAAAAGTCATCTGAGTTATTTAGAATGTGACAGTTCTTAATAGTGATTGCAAGTGAATTGAGCAGTGTATCGGTCAACCAGGTGTACAAACTGTTGAGTGAGTATTATTTAACATTTCGCTGTTCAGAAACACACTGACCTGAGAGTAGTGTGATGGATCCCAGCGGAAGAGCTCATTCAAGATATAACAATACGAAAATTTACCAATGATATACCAGAGAGAATCAGAACTGCAAACTGGAGTGTCTGTCTGTGAGTATAGCGAAACGACAACAAATTACAGTTATAATTTGAACAGTATATAATATAACAAAGTGATTGCAGTTGATATTAAATGAGTGTTACTTGTAAGCTGCTCTCTAAGACAACAACCACAAATGAGTTCTCTTCACTAACGAATATTCATCTACACATGGTGGCGTCAACGACGTAGTGAGAAAGATTAAGTTCGATAATTGTATTCGGCAGTCCGGGCCGAAACTTCAATGTAGCACCGGACAGCATAAAATGATGCTATTCCTTACGTGATATCCCAACTAAGAATAACTTTTTTTCTATAAATTCACAATATTCTTTATCCTAATACCAAAAATGACTACTAGAAAACTGCCAGTTGTATGTTCGGAAGACATTACTTAGTGGAGCGGTTCAAAGTACTTATAGAATATCTTAAACAACGCAACTGCAGAACTGTCCCATTAGTAGACCTTTGTTGTCAATTTCCATCCATGAATGAAAAGCAGATACATCTGAATTAAAATTGCTAATCACCTATCAGTATCTATATTACTATAATCTGACGTCATCACGATGCTAAGAGGAATAGAAAATTGACTGGATAACTTAGAACTTAATGACCCCCAAAAGTCATCTGAGTTATTTAGAATGTGACAGTTCTTAATAGTGATTGCAGGTGAATTGAGCAGTGTATCGGTCAACCAGGTGTACAAACTGTTGAGTGAGTATTA